ATTGGTATGTAAGTATGTAGATACTTGGATAGTGAAGTAAATTTCAACTACGTTAAGTAATAAAGTACATAGGTATTACTTGTGTAGATAAATTATTACCACAGTATAATAAAAATATACAGTAGGACGACGCCTTTGATCTCGTGGTAAATCCCGACAACGTCTAGACAGCGTATGGAAGTTAGGGTTGTCACAAATTAACAACTTTTACTAATTTCATTATTTATTTTAGATCTACATCGTGATCAACAATATGATTACTAATATAAAGAATAAGTAATAATTTGTTCTTACATTTTTCCTGAAAGTACTCAAAACGCTAATTGCACGCCTCACAACATGAGGGAGTGCTCTACTCTCGATATGTGGCCATACCTCAGTTTCGACTCCTCATCAAAATTGACATCCCTAACATTAAAAAAATGATGTCCACCATCTTGGATTTAAAAATAAATTCCATTTTCGTTATCAGCACCCCAAGAAACCTCGAAATTGATACCCATATCATATTATTAAAAAAATGTTAGCCATCTTGGATATGAAAATGGATGCCAGTTTCGTAATAAGCACCCCAAGAAACCCCGAAATTGATACCCATATCATATTATTAAAAAAAATCCGCCATCTTGGATATGAAAATGGATGCCGGTTTCGTAATAAGCACTACAAGAACCTCGAAATTGATACTCATATCATATTATTAAAAAAATGTCCGCCATCTTGGATATAAAAATGGATGATAACATTTAAAAATAATAAAAGCAAGCAAGCGCTAACCCTGTAAGTCGTGTCCCGAGCTACTAATACGATAGGCATAAGCAGATCGGGCTCGTCCTTCCCGCGTCTCACCCCACACACCCCGCACGATTGCCCCGTCTAGACGTCTTAGACGGACGACTGTATGGATTTATAGACTGTGTTATTACTTAATTCTTTTTTACTATCAGTACCTATCTAACAAAAAAAAAAAAAGAAATAAATTCACCTTTAATAACTTGTTTCTGAAATCCTTCGGTAATTTTAAAGAATGATATATCTGAAACCTTTTTTTTGGGCATTTGGCATCCATCCACGCAACAATTATAGTAGGAGCGACGTTTTTCCATTAAAAATTATCAAATAGGTAAAATAATGTAAATAACACTAAACAAAGACTATTTCAACAATTATTTACAAAAAAAACTAATTACGTAAACACCGTTAAAAAAAAGTTTATCGACCAAATTGGCGATATTTTGAAAATGGGCCACGTTAGAAGTACCCTTAACCGACGAGCATGTATGCGTAGATATATGGATGTAAAGGAGGCGAAAGAGGTATGTAAGGATCGTGCCAAATGGAAGTCCGTAGTCTCTGCCTACCCCTCTGGGTGACAGGCGTGAGTGTTTATGTTACGTTAAAAAACTCAAAACAAACATTCGATCGCCTACAACGCGCTAGCCCCGACTGCGTATGTTACCCTGGGTGCCTAGCGATTGTAGGTAATTATTTCACGCAGGTAGCAAGAGTGACAGAGGGCTGGTAACAGTTAGTTCAGTATCTTCTTTCTTCAATATTAAAACACAACCTACATAAATACACCCCACTAAGCTCTCATTCATTACACAATAGTTTCTTTAAGTTTATTAGTCAGACAGATATCACAATTTTTTAGTTTCTTCTTTCTTCACCACAGTAAATTATAATAAATAATTAGTCAAATACAGTCCACTTAGCTCTCCATCAACTACAATACATATCAATGATAATCGTTAATAGCAGTGTTCCATTTCAGGCTTACTTCACGTACTAATTTCTAATTTTATAGCTAGTTGTGGGGTAAATTTTTCCTCACACTTGTAACCCTAAATATAGTGACGTATTTACTTTTGTCCCTATCTGCGACACGCTACGGCGGAGTCTATAGGATTCTCTGTCTACGCTTCAACTGGACTTAGAGTTTTGGAATGTAGATGTAAGGAGAACCGTCTCTGTAATAAAAATTGTCTGTAGGAAAGCGCTAAATAAGGGTGACACCACTGTAGCTAGAAGGTAAATTTTAAAGAACTTTTTATAACTTTTTACAGCACAGACTTTCAACATAATTCATTTTTATAATAATTATTTTATTGTTTTCATAATTTTTATTTCCAAAATCAGTCTCAACGCTTCAGCAGAGCGCACTCAACTACAGCTACAGCCCAACTAGCCCCCGTGCTCCATTATCTTGCGGTCGAGCATAACTGCGGCCGCATCTATGTGGGCGTCTTCCTGGACATGGAGAAGGCCTTCGACAGTATGTGGCACGCAGGGCTACTTTACAAACTTATAGAACATACAACCTTGCCGCCTATGCTAGTGCGGCTAATAGCGTCGTTCCTGGAGGGGCGGAGCTTCTGCGTTAACATCGAGGAGGCTGTCTCGATAGCACGTCCCATCGAAGCGGGAGTGCCACAGGACAGCTGCCTATCATCCCACCTGTACGCGGTTTACACCAATGACATCCCTACACTCCAAGGCCGCCTGGAGGAGTGGGAAAATGACGTCGTCCTGGCCTTATATGCAGACGACAGTGCGTATTTCACGTTATCTCGTCGGGTAGAGATCGCGGCAAGGAAGCTGCAGAGACTTTTGTTCACTGTCACGTGACGTCACAATTCGCGCAGTACGTATATATAAAGGTACTTTTTGCGCAGTACTAACGATTATTGAACCACAAACCAATAAGAGTACTAACGTATATTGAACATTTAGCTTTTATATGAATATAACTTGTATTTATAAGTATAGTCATGGTGTGTAGTGCTGTAAAAAAATGGAAGCGGGCATTAAAAAAAGCACAGTCAGATAATCTGCCAAAAGTGGATATTTTTATGGTTGCGTAGTAATTATCTGAAAATAATGATTTTTATTATTAGAAATGCGTGGAATAAATCTCCAAAGGAAAGTTATTTAGTTTACCACTGATTAGTAGGTTTCCGCAGTAATACATAGGTAGGTATTAACTGACCGAACCACGAAGTTGCATAAGATTTGAAATGACAACATGAAAAAAACTAATTAAACTTACTAATGCAATGAATATTAATCAACCCGTGCAATTATTTCATCATCATCATCATCATCATCATTACAGCCCTTCACAAGTCCACTGCTGAACATAGGCCTCCCCCAAGTAATGCCACAAAGCACGGTCCTGAGCCACCTGCATCCATCGACTTCCTGCATGTCTTACCAGGTCGTCACTCCATCTAGTGGGGGGTCGCCCTACACTACGCCTACCGGTACGAGGCTGCCACTCGAGAACCTTTCTTCCCCATCGGTTATCGGTTCTTCGAGCTATATGGCCGGCCCATTGCCACTTCAGCTTACTAATCCGTTGGGCTATGTCGGTCACTCTGGTTTTACTGCGGATATCCTCATTTCTAAGTCTATCACGCAGTGAAACTACGAGCATAGCCCTCTCCATAGCTCGCTGAGCGACCTTGAGCGTCCTCATACGGCCAGCAGTGAAGGACCACGTCTCAGATCCGTAAGTCATCATGCCGTGTAGTGGCGGTTGAGAATATCCACTACCCCATATCTTCCCGTGGGTGTCGTAAGAGGCGACAGAGGGAGACAGGCAGGAGATGGGCAGCAGCATCTTCCTGATAACAACTGTGTTATAATAAAAAACTGCGGTTGCCAACCCGCTCGCCAAACGTGCTATAGCAAATATCCCCCCATGAATAAAGACGCAAAAATGCAATTATTTAGTACGTTTTATTATATGGGGAAATGCCTACGCATACCCGCCTTGCGGGGGCAAGGACTTGTTATGTCGGACTCGCACCAAAACCCCATGGTGTTCCACCTTCGTAGCATTTAATGAGGGCCACGGGAATGCTTTTGCACATATCCTTGGCCTCACTAGTCGCCCCCTTCTTGGGAGAGGACTACTCCTCCCCACCTCCCTCTCAGATAAGGCACTCCAGAACACATGGCGCGACCTCTTCCGCGGCTTCCATCTTCACATGTGCTACAGACGGCCCCGCGTCCGATTTGGGAAGGCCATGGCCAGGAAAAACGAGCACTCAGAAGCACTAGCCTTCCTGACCCCAGCGGCGGATCTGGTCAATGGCTCCGCCGCCAACCAAGATTCGGCTGCAGAGGGTAGGGAGAGCAGCGCCTCGCAATACCGACACTCCTCTCGCCGCAGCCTGCCAACACACATCCGAAGTGGGCTCGCCAAGCCTACTCGGAGTGGCCTCCTCAGGACGGCCCTACACCTCAACCTGTGGCCAACCATGTGGGTTCCTCTTAGTTCACCGCGGGTGACCAAGCCACGGCTACTCAGCCCATTGCCACTATAAGGCGGTAATCCGTTCGGTGTAACTTTAATTCTCTTATTTGTGGGGTCAGTGAAGTCAGATGTCTAGCTTATTTAGCCCTTGATGGCTGAATTCGGCTTTTTCGAAAGGCCGCTATTCGTAGAAGATAAGCTATAATCTAAATCTACCGTTGGGGGCCGTGAAGATATTCATAAAAAAGGCCTAAGTCTAGTACCTTAGTACCTTAAAATATCTAAAAAAGAAATGCTTATGATCATTATAAGCCTTTGTATTCTATACTTATGTTTTATAAGCGTCTGCTATCTAATATGTGGCGCCTAAAGCTAAATAATATTTAACCTTATATCAGGCTGGTATAAAATCGCAAATAGTTTAAAGATTTAAATCGAAATAATCAAACTAAACAACTGAAAGTTTTGAAATGAAATCTGTCATCGCGACAGAAAGTTTCGACCGCCGTTTTTGGAAGTGATGGAATTTAATACGAAACATCGAAAATTATCTAAAACTAAAAATTCCGCTCGTACTCCATCTAATAATAAGCCCCGTTTGACTAAAAAGAAAACGGTTACTCGAAAACGTAAATGTGTTTGTCTTCCCGAAAATTATTCCATTGTTGAATTTCCTGCAATCTGGAACGAACTCAGGCAAAACGGTCAATTATGTGATGGCACAATAATATGTAGAGATATGAAATCAATACGAATTCACAGAGCCATACTGTCCGCTGTAAGTCCTTACTTCAAAGCAATATTTGTAAATTCATTGAAGAAGGGAGAGCCAGAAGAAACAGAGATTTTTGTGGATGTCCCAAGTTATTATATGAGCTTAATTCTTGACTATGCGTACACTGGGTCGTGCACAGTTACCGCCGAAAATGTCGAAAATTTGCTACCTTATGCTGATCAATTTGACGTGGTAGGTATTATACAGTTATGCTGTCAGCTGCTGCTACAAGAACTAAGACCACACAACTGTCTTGGAATATTTAAATTTGCGCGATGCTATTTCTGCAACGAATTGGAGAAAAAAGGCAAATTGTATATAAGACAGAACTTTGCTAGGATACTTAAAGAATGTAATGAATTTAAATCGTTGTCGTACGAAGAATTAGAGGACATATTGAGAGATGACGAATTAAATGTTCGAAACGAAGAAATAGTTTTCCAAGCAGTTAAAACGTGGGTAGAACACGATCTTGAGAATAGACGGGTCTATATTCCTGCTTTGTTATCGTGTGTCCGCTATGGTCACATAAGTTATAAATATTTTAAATCAAAAATACTTCAATGGCAACCAGTAATAGAAGATGAGGTGAGCTTTTATGAGTTAGACGATTATTAAAGAGGTAAATAATTAATACACTTTACGCAACTCTTAAATGTACGATTTCTAGAAATGTCAAGAAGCACTGTATCCTGCTGTGGTATTTCTTACCTTACTGGACTCTAGACCCGGCACTGAGGCGGATTTAAACGACCCGTTGGCGAGACCTCGAATACCCTATGAAATACTATTTGCAGTGGGTGGATGGAGTGCTGGTAGCCCCACCAGCTTTGTTGAAACTTATGATACAAGGTAAAGTGCGTTAACATTTGTAAAACGCTAACTTTTTGTAAATTTGTTTGATGCAGGCAGCGTAGCATATTAAAAAAAATCATGTATACCTATATATTTCCTTAATTATTATAAGCTTTGTGTCCATGATACCAAGTTTCCAGTCAATCATATTGTTTAAGCTTCAAATAAAAATAATATGTGGATACTTTTTGTACAGTCTAGTCTGCAATCGGTCCGTGTCCACTGAATGTCGCGGAGGCGAGTTGAGAAAAATATACAAGTAAGATAAGAACTAACCTGTGTCCTAATGTTCACCACAGGTACCTATTTTTTATAGAATGGGGGCGACTTACGAGCACATAGTCCACGTGATAGCAAGTGGATGTTAGGACCTATATACATCTACATCTATTATCGATTAAAATCAAAATGTCGATGCGTTGCCACCGAGTAATTAGATAGAATGCCTCGTTTCCAGTAAAAAGGGTCTTCGGTTCTCTACACTCACGAAGGACAGCGGCATTAAGTTTCTCTTTTAAGCTAAAAATTTACTGGTAAATATAGTAACAGCGGCATGAACGAGGAGGGTGGATACGTCAACGATTTCTCCAAATATATTGTTACGCGCTAAAATCGGCGCACTAGCGCCATCTAGTCTCGAACCAAAGAACTAAACTTCTTGAAGTTTAAAACTCGAACTCTCGGTACCTTGCGCGTGTTTACTTGAACATTCTGGATATTTTGCTAATTTATATAAGTAGGCGCTGCAAGATGCGATCGGGCAGAGTTGAACTCGGCGACACAAGCGAAGCTTCGGAGCAGAATTAAGTGAATTAGTGTGTTTAATTATTAGTGTTTTTAGTTTTAATTTGTGTAAAGTAAATTAAAGTGTTAATTTAGGTAATTTTATCGGCAATTTTTATTGTCACGAACCTCAAGCTCGTAACAATTGGTGTCAGAAGTGGGATAAAATCATGCCGATTTTACCTAAGGAGGAAACGGAGGGTGTTTGTACCCGCAGTCAACGCCAGCATGAGACGGACCAGAGAACATTTGGTGGTGCAACGCCGCAGACGTCGGAAGGCCAGCCGCCGGCAACGGAGGCCGGTTCGTCAGTAGCTCCTGCATCTGCAGCACCTGATTTAGGTGTTCTGATGGCGATGCTACAGGAGCAGCTGCAGCGCGGACGAGAGAAACAGGCCCGTCTGTTGAAAGAGCAGCAGGAAGTACAGGCTCGCCGACAGGAGGAACAGGTCCGTCAGTTGAAACAGCAGCTGCAGAGCGGACAGGCAGAACAGGCCCGCCGACAGGAGGAACAGATGCTTCTCATGAAGGACCTTCACGCTACCTTCGGGAAAGAGATAAGGGAGGTGAAGGATAAGGTTGCTCAACATGAAAACCGCCTGTCGGAAGCTGAAACCCGAATTGACCAAGTGAACGATCGGGTTGACAACGTAATGGCTGACATGAGGAAATCACTTGACGAACTCAAACTTGGGGAGGGAACTACAGCTCCCGTAGTAGCTACTACACCTTCGCTACGTGGGTTCAAGGTGCCACCACTCGACGGGACTTCTTCCTGGTCAGCCTACAAAATCCAGTTCGAAGCTGTTATGAAGGCGAACGGCTGGAATAAAAATCAGGCCATGACTGCTCTCACACTAGGCCTGCGTGACCAGGCCTTAACAGTTCTGGAAGCTCTCGGTGAGGAAGTGACTTATGAGCAACTCCTTGAGACATTGGAGGCGAGATATGGCGACGCTCACCTGGAACACGTCTTTCGTGCGCAGCTTAAAGATCGTGTGCAGCGCATCAATGAAAACCTGCAGCAGTGGGCTCTAGAAGTGGAGAAGCTGGTGCGAAAAGCATACCGGCTGTACCTGCGCTCATTGAAGGGAACCTGGTGCAGACATTCGTCGACGGCATCCGCGACCTGGAAGTCAGAGCTGCTGTGAGGCTCGGGCACCACGAGACGCTTAAGGACGCCTTGGCCCATGCACTGGAAGTGGAAGCCGTGCGGCAGGATCATCGTTCCCATCGCGTCAGGGAGGTTGCAGCAGCTACAGTTCGCGACCGCAACAAAGGATACAGCCCAAGGTGCTATGGCTGTGGGGAAAAGGGCCATCTTCGATCCAGCTGCCCTAAACTAACCGTGGAAAGGTGAGTTGGTCGATCTCGAGAGGGTAGTACAGCTAACGGCACTGCCTGGCGGCGACAGGATCATCGTTCACCTCACGCTAGGGAGGTTACAGCAGTTACGGTTCGCGACCACAATAAAAGATACAGCCCTAGGTGCTATGGCTGTGGGGAAAGGGGCCATCTTCGGTCCAGCTGCCCTAAGCACACCCTAGGAAGGGAAGGCGAACGGTCTCAGAAAGGAAGTGCGGCTAACAGCACCGCCCAGCAGCAGCAGGAATACGACTTCACTATCAGACACTGCAGCGGGAAATCTCACGGCAACGCAGATGCATTGACAAGAAGACCTTGTCCTGAAGATTGCAACCATTGTAGTAGGCAAGAGAGTAAGGAAGTGGTATCGGTGAGGATGCTCAGGACAGACCACCTCAGCAACGGGTGGAAGGACAGCCTACGACATGCACAGCAGGAAGATCCGGACATCAAGCCGATTCTGGGATGGATGAAGGCCCGTGCTACCAAGACTAAGTGGAGGGACGTCTCAGCGATGAGTTCAACCACGAAAAGCTATTGGGCCCAATGGGACAGCTTGCTGATTCAGGATGGAGTCCTGTGCCGTAAATGGGACAATGGTCGAAGGGACAGCTGTCGTTTGCAAATGGTTGTCCCTAAAGCTAAAGTGCCGAATTTTCTACAGCTGTACCATAATGGTCGTTCAAGAGTCCATCTGGGAGTTAAACGAACTCTACTGAAGGTCCGAGAACAGTTTTACTGGGTCCATTATCGTGACGATGTCGAGGATTGGTGTCGTACATGTACAAGTTGTGCGGTTGTGCGGGGACCTCAGACACGTAGTAGAGGAGCACTGAAATTGTACAATGTTGGTGCACCACGGGATAGAACAGCCCTTGACATTGCGGAGCCGTTACAGAAAGGCGCAAGAGGGACTCCTAAGATCGTCCATGTGGATCGCCTAGCGCGTTATTATGGGACCGATAATGCTCGGGACGAGCATGTCTTAGGAGGGGGCAGTGTTACGCGCTAAAATCGGCGCACTAGCGCCATCTAGTCTCGAACCAAAGAACTAAACTTCTTGAAGGTCAAAACTCGAACTCTCGGTACCTTGCGCGTGTTTACTTGAACATTCTGGATATTTTGCTAATTTATATAAGTAGGCGCTGCAAGATGCGATCGGGCAGAGTTGAACTCGGCGACACAAGCGAAGCTTCGGAGCGGAATTAAGTGAATTAGTGTGTTTAATTATTAGTGTTTTTAGTTTTAATTTGTGTAAAGTAAATTAAAGTGTTAATTTAGGTAATTTTATCGGCAATTTTTATTGTCACGAACCTCAAGCTCGTAACAATATAAACGAGGCTTTGGTAACCAAAACAACGGTTAACATAGGTAATTAGTACGATATGTAAATATGTTTATATTTACATATCGTACTAATTACCTATGTTAACCGTTAAGGATTTCGCGGTAGTCACACCTAATACATTTAGATGGAGAGCAATGTTTACGTCTATGGTAAGATATTACATGCTAATAAGCTCGACAATTATTGCGATTTTCCGATAGACCCTTTTAGGATATTATAACGATTTTAAAAAGAGTTTCTTTGTACACGGAGGAAGGAAGCCTTACGTAGGTTACCTTATATAATATTACAGTAATCTTCTAGGGCTGACCGATGGTTTCTCTCAATTCACATGGATTTAACTCCACGGGCATACCACGGCCTATGCACGCTTAACAACCTTATCTACATGATCGGTGGATTCGATGGGAGTGATCATTTCAACACAGTCAGATGTTATGACCCCGTGTCAAATGTATGGCACGAGCGAGCTTGCATGTACCAGGCAAGGTGCTACGTTAGCGTTGTGGTTCATGGTAAGTTTGCTTTGTAGTGAAAGTTTTCAATAAATTGTAGTAAAAATATGTAACTTTACCCAAAAACGGCGAAGCCCAAAAGCAGAGTAATATGATAAACGAGTACTCAGTCCACGTATGCTGAAACATCCTACATCTATCCTCGTTATATCAAAACGCAGATACGATGTCACCCCTGAGAACTGAGATAGAATGCTTCGTTCCGAGATAAAGGAGACTGGTACAAACGTGGTCTTTTTCACATTCGAGCCCACACATTCATGTACGGCTGCAATATGGCTCTACCACATATAAACTGTATGTAGGTTAGGTAATAGGAATACGTATTAGAATTAAAGTAAGCGACATCTTTATCATTACCATCATCAACATTACATAGTCATGTCGGACATTTGATTGAAAATGACTCAATATTGATTAGTATTGCATATTTATTTAGTAACATGGCTATCATTATAAGTTAGAAAAACTCCGTGAGATTAAGAAATTGTTTGAAAAGGAGCATTTAATAATTATTCGTAGAAGTTTATTTTGTGTGACATCGTCAGGCATTGTACGTTGAATAATTGAGACGGAAACCTATCCGCCTACCTGCCGATCGAATTACATGGCAAGAAGTGTTGTTTACTTTGTAACACAACTCTCATTTTCTACTAACTGTTATATTATATCTTTTCTTTAATACTTCACTCTTTTTGTTTGCTATTACTTGCATGCAACTATAAAACAATTTAAAAAGAAAAAACTGCTTTTCCATTAATTGATTTAATTAAAAAAAACCATGAACACTTATTTTAACATTTTGTGGATCCTGTCTGTACGGGGTCCAGCGCTTGTGAATACTATATCTTTACGATAAGACGAAATTGCTCTTACTATAATATTGAGTGCATATTCTGAAAAAAAAAAACACGAAAAATACTGGGGGCTACGAATGTTATTAGTGTGATTACAATGATAAAGAATATATATGTGACTAAGATGTGAAAATGAATGTGTCTTGAAACCCAGTTAACCATTTCTGCCATTCTGATTTTAATGCACTTCAATTATCGTTTTCTGTTTCAAGCCTTTGATTTTATGGCACTTTTATAAGTCACATCGCTCTAAAGCAGGAGAGCACTAAAGGAGGCTCACAAAGTGCCGTACTAAATTACTATGATCGACGGCGCAACCTAGCGCTAAGTAGTGATCCACTACTCTGTATCATCATGTGGGTGTCGTTGTAGGCGATAGAGTGAAATTGAAATATGAGTTGACGGCATTATCTTAACCCATAAGTAGAAAGCTGCGGTCGAAAACTCACCTGTCATGCGTTGTACCTAAAGTTCGTGCCAAATACTCAGATATGAGCCGAGTGTCAAAAGGCGTAACTTACAAAATCTCAATTTAGATGTCGTAACAATATTTAAATATTTATATTATTCACACTTGTATTGTACGTATGTTTTTTTGTTTCTTAAATAATATTGTCTGCGGTTCGTACAAAATCGTAAAATCTTACGGTACATCGCGAAAAATGTGTTATATTTTATATTTCAATTTATGGTAAGTAACGCAGCAATTCATTTAATAAAAGTTTCATGTAAAAAAAAATATTTGAAGCAATATAATCACCATATAGAGCTTTTACAAATTCATCCCTTTAAAATAAACAAAACGCGCCTTACGTCAGTTCGTTCTGAAAGAAACGTGACAATGGCAGCCAGAGATGCGTCACTTTTTTTGGGCCGGCCCGCATGCACCGAATAAAAATAAAGTTCTTATATAATATTGAAAATAAAGTTTTATCTTTTGAATAAGTACGTACTTATTCGGTGTCGTTATCACTCGAATCTTTATATGTGTTATAAATTAATGATTTTTGTTGTTAAATGAATAAAGTACTTTAAAACAATAGATGAATTTCTTCTACAGCGATCTTTTACATAACTTTTTAATAATAGTTAATACATATTATGTTATATCAATCATTATAAAAAAATCAAAAAAACCATTATAAATAAATAAAGTACTATATCTAAAAAACCTATATATCGAAGGTTTGTAGACCCTGGTTAAACGTACCGAAAGGTCAATGTCCGTTTTTCTCAATCGATTTGTCACGAATTATAATTGTAGCAAATATATCATCTATGTGGCAATTTATAGGTTGCACTTTGATAGGATGTAATATTGATGATGATAATCCGACGGAGCTTGGATAAAAGCAGCAAGCTTATAGTGTTTCTTATCCCATATTGACAAATGTCTGATCTTTTTACCATTAAGGCTAATTAAAATTATGTATTAGATTTGCCACCCACATGAGTGAAATTGGTAATATTTTAAAACAGGTCTGTTAATATCGCCAATACCCACAAATTTATTCTTGACAATAGATTTTTATACTTCAATAATAAAACATGATTTTTTTGAAAATGTGCAGATGGTTTAATATACGCATTGGGAGGTTACAACGGCCGGACCAGGATGGCCTCGGTAGAACGATATCATCCTGATAAAAATCAATGGGAGATGACAACGCCGATGAATAAACAACGCTCGGATGCAAGTGCCGCTTCGTTAGGCGGTAAAGTAAGTATCTGTAGTGTATACAAGTCTGTATATTCATCTTAGTTGAGTTTATATCTGTCAATACCGTCGTAAACCTTTTATACAACTTCAGATGATGCTGAAGATTATTTTCGTGATTTCATCTTTCACTTCTCAACGTATAATGTCGTTTAATCGCATCGTCCAAACCATAGAATACTGTAATTCATACATAATAGAACGGGGGAGTGGGCGGAGCCCGCATAGTCACTGAAATGTCACTAACACGTCCATTTACACGTATAAATGTCAACACGAGATGTGTTTTGACGTTACAATCATTTCTAAATTGCATGCAAATTATTTAAAAAGTACCAAATTGCACCCTATTTACAAATAAATATGTATTAAAATTTAAAGGATTTTTTTAATGATGATCTTGAACATTAATCATAAGTCTAAAACGTGTAAATTTATTCAGTCTGTCAGCACAGCGAATTGGATTTGGCGTCGCCAAACCTCATACAAAATGAAGCTGACAGCCATTCTATTGTGTATTATAGTACTCGTATTATATGGTCCAAACGAAGCCGAAACATTAGAAAAGTTTATTGTTAGCACAGTTAGTTTACAGTTACAGCCTATTAAAGTCCACGGCTGAACATAGGCCTCCACCATAGATTGATTCATACGGAAGATATTTGCTATAGTTGTCACGCTTATATAAGCGGGTTGGCTACCACAGATTTTTTTTATTTATAGTTATTATTACTGGGAAACTATCTACTCCGCCCAGAAATTGCTCACGGCTAAGCAACTCCTTCTATTCATTGAAGACATAGGGCTTAGCCGTGAACTATAGCCATAGCAGCGATCACAATAGATCTTTTAGGTCGCAGTGATACTGGTCTCTTTACCTAAACCTGCATAGCTGCTCGCATATAATAAAAAAATATTATTACGAAGACACTGCTGCCCATCTCCTGATTTGTTTCCTCGGTCACGATATCCTCATCATTCGAACCACATAGAAATCTCTAGTTTTCTACTAGAAAAACGGGTCGTTTAAAAAAAAACTTCTTTAAAGTGCCGATTCAAAAACAGTGTCGATAGAATTGACGCTCCGGGAAGTCTGCAGTTTGTGGACACGTACAGAATCATTACATCAGATTTGATAGACCATAAAATCCTCGCTAACGAACACCGATTCCTTCCAAGGATGATTCGCGTGGCTGTTATAACCCCCCCCCCCCCGCGCAACCATAGATAAGAATGTGAAAGCACTCGAAATTCTCTGGGAATTTAAAATAAGATTATACGCATTGAGCTATTATGTACTACGTACTAGAGGCGACACTGCATTCAGCTACTCTGTTCCACTCAACTGCGGTGCATACACCGCACTTTAATCAGTCACTTGCTAGGCGCTTGTAGAGTTGTCACGTGTCGTGTTGATTAAAAAAAATCTCTTGATAAAAATATGCCGTCGTGTGTACTTAGATATTACGCAAATATCAGTAAAAACCAAGGAATTACTTTTCATCGGTTAATAAGATACTTAATCAATAAAAAAGTGTTATATATTAATAATAAAACAAATTATTCCTAAGACGCCATCTCTAGTCATGGATAGATTATGAAATTAATGTGTTCAGATACGACATTTCTGTGGGTTCTTAAGTATAGGACGAATATATTATTGTTAATACACTTTTTTTTTTTGTAGAAACACAAAGTGGTATAAATTCGTCCATTTTTAACTCTCGCGTGCCCAGCATTTATGAACGACTCTTATAATAATTTAAATAAATATATTTGTAATTTAAATGTTATGTTAAACATACATTTAGTATGTTTTTTTATATTTGACATAGATACCTTTTAAAATATTCAGATTAAAATAATTAAAATGTAATTGTGTTATATTATTAAGTAATATTATATTAAATAAGCAAATATAATATACAAAATAAATGACAAAATTTAAATATTGTTCTCGATATAATTTACTTTACCTATTTAACAATACAATCTACTATTACCTACGGGTCGTTCTACCTATGTTTATTCTATGATAAAAAAACCAACCGCGCGAACACAGAGTAGCACACATTTTTTGTTTGAGACAGCTGTTCTAGTACGTAAGTACATATTACTTCAATGATTATACGCGATAAAATCCGTTAAAATTTAGTTTCATTTAGATATTTACGGGGTTATTTTGCAATAACTGGCTTATAGGCGAATAGTGAAGAAAAATTAATTAAGAAAATCTCAAACATTTTAACTGAACCTTTTTATCTCTTAGATTCAAAATACATTGTAATGCATTATTTTAACTGATTATACTGCACACGCAAACATTCGTAAGGGTCGATAAGTATAGGTAACGACGTTGTTACCCATAAATCACATTCAATTTGGGATAATTTCAAATTAAAGTAGAAACATTATTTACTCGTATTTTCAAGAACTGCAATAACGATATATCATTATTATTTGGTCTAAAGTTTAAAATTTGGCTACACTTTGAAAAATAACCCTGTGTTACTGAAGAAGAATCAAAGTTGCATTGTCACACCAGAGGACTATACTATAGAATGCCTGGCTTTCAGCAAAAAGGGTTTCCGGCTTCCTCTACTCGCTATAAGAAACACAGCAGCATTGAGCTGCTATTTTACGCTGGTATTCTGTGAGAAACTGGTCCATCCCCGGTTGAGCCGACCAATTCGTACTACAACCATAATATAGTTGTAGCGCGCGCGGTTATACTACGTGTAAACTTATTATTTCGAAAAATGATTTAGAATTGCTGTCCACCACCGTATCTATAAAATATCATTTCTGATATTCTGACTCTGATATTTTGTCTTTAATGTCTTCTTAACGTTATATCGATACATTTTTTAAATATTTTGCGAAAGAATTGTTTCGAAAAAAAAAGAGAAAATTGTGAATATTGAAAAATACATGTGAATAAGCAAACATTTTTACGATTGAAAAGTGTTACATTTTTCAACAGATCTACATAGTTGGCGGTTTCAATGGGCAAGAAGTGTTAAGTTCTGCGGAGATGTTCGACTCTGAGACGAGACAATGGAGTTTCATTAGATCGATGCTCAGCCCGCGTTCGGGCGTTAGCCTTATTGCGTACAGAGACTCGCTGTATGCGCTTGGCGGTTTTAATGGATACAGCAGGTTGAATACTGGTAAGAAATATCGATGCAGGTTTTTATCTAATAGATTTAAAAAAAATGTTTGTTCGTAGTTTATGCGCTGTCATACCGTTCATCAAATTGCTGTAAAACTTTGTAAACATATTGCTTGTACTTCCGGGAAGGTTTATAGGCATAGTTGGACCCGGTAGGTGGCGCTGGTGTAGAATTCAGATATCACCCGCGCGAAGCCGAAGCAGATCGGTAGTTTTCATTAAAAAATATGTAAAAGTTAAAAAGTAAGACTAAGTTTGTAATTTTGCCTGTACGATATTCAAAAGATAGTTATTATGTCTCACTCGGTACGGTAAATGCATAAAGCAACCAACCGTCAATCTATAGCAGCCCTTATTAATTATTATATTACCTTATATTACCTTATAGCGGTGGTTTAAGAATATCCACTACCCCTGTGGATGTCGTAAGGGGCGATAGAGGGAACCATAGAATACAATAGAATGGCTGTCAACCTTATTTTGTACGAGGATAGGCGTCGCCGGGAGCACACATACAAGCAATTATGTCGTATTATCAGTTAATCACTACTACAAACCCGATTCGTTGTGTTGACAGACGGATTTTAATAGATATTTATTTGTAAATAGCGTGCAATTTGGGATTTTCTAAATAATTTGCACGCGAAATTTGGAAACGATTGTAACATCAAAACACATCTCGTGTTGACATTTAAACGTGTGAATTGACTTGTTAGTGTCATTTTAGTGGCTACACGGGCTCCGCCCACTCCCCCGTTCTATTATGTATGTATTATAGTATTCTATGAAGGAAACCAAACCGTGAGCAGCAACGTCTTCCTGATAACGAATTGAAAAAAAAAAACAATACGCCCGCCTAGTGTGCTTGGCAATTCGGCAAATATTCCCTTTACGAGGCCATCCGTGGGGAAGCCTATGTTCAGCTTTGGACTATCAAAGTCCACGTACTCACGTGTTAGAGTTATGAGTCGGCTCGACCAGGGAAGGACCACGCTCTCACAGAATACCAGCGTAAAATAGCATCTTAATGATGTTATGTTTCGTATGGTGAGTGTAAAGAAACGGAGATACTGGAATCGAGGCATTTTATCTTGGTCCTCACGGGTGACAGCGCATCTGCATTTTGATTCTTAAGCGCGGTTAAATTTAAACATCTATGAGCCACAGCGTCCATTTACCATCAGGTGGACTGTGTGCTCGTTTGTAACCCTTATCCTATAAAAAAATAGGTTAGATGTGGATTTCTGTGGGCTACAACAACCACTTAACAACGGGTAGACTGTGTGCTCGTTTATCGCCTTTATTCTATAAAAAAATTGATAGGCTTTAATGAATTATGAAAATACAACATGTAACAGAAACCCTGTGGTTCCCGTTAAGTGCGTTATCAGAATCAGCATCCAAACGTATAGAAATAACTTTACTTCAAAAATCGACCATATTTTTTTTATTAAATTTTTTTTTGAATATGGTGTAGTTTTGTTGTCTTTGAATTAGAATATTGTCAAAGACACCGATTTACCGATGCACGTCAGGTAAAGGTATTATAACCACATACAATTTACAAATTTCATTAAAAAAAATTATGGTCGTTTTTCTGAAGTAAAGTTATTTCAATACGTTTGAATACTGATTCGGAAAATGACCCTGTGTTCATAGGTGACAGTTATTTACTAATGGAAATTAACAATAAACGGCTTGAAATCACTTCAGACAGGCATTTTATCTTAATATCTATTATTAAAATATAAATATGAATGTTTTTTGTCCCGAATGTGATTCTTTAATATTCATCCGATAGGGTTATGAAACTTTTGTGAGTCGTTTTGCGCGCGCCGGCTAATGTTTTATTAATTTAAAAAAAATAGTTAATATTAAAGAAAGTGGTGAGAATAGACAATACAATTAACCGAAAATAAATCCATCCTCGCATTTACAAAATAGGGACAGAAAATATAGTTATTGCATACACTAGTAAAATAATCATAATAATTATAAACAAATAGCAAGATATTATATTAAAAGATCCATAAATAAATACTTGTAAGAAAATATATTATTAAGAAGGGTTATATCATTTTATAATATTGGTGTGGCAAACAAGCTAACGATAAGATGGTAAATTACTGCTGCAGCATATGGACACCTGCAACATGCATCTACTGTAAACAAAATAGACCACAGATATGTTTTAACTTCTGAAAGTACTAAAATGCCTCACAGCCTGTTAATATAAAGGCTCGTTATTGATACTTACTGCTCGGAGGCAGAAATAGATTAGGATCGTGAACTGCTCGGATATAGTAAATAATTCAACATAATTATAACTAGCGACCCACCCGTCCTGGCTTCGTCTGAGTGGGATATATTTATTAACGCGACGCTATTTACATTTAAGATAGTCAAAGACCATTTTTTTATTAATTTTTTTAATCACCAAGTTTTTCGAATTAAATTTTCGGGCTATCTAGATCACTCCTGGCTTGCTCTCTAAATGTCGATGAACTTTCATTACAATCGATTCAGCCGTTTCAGAGATTAACCCAGACAGAGAGGAATTTTAGCAAGTGGTAAAATCATCGATATATATGTACTACGCACTAGATTTCGCATTCCGAACACTCACTATGTTCAACTGAACTGTATTGCAATCCGTACACCTGTTATTTTGCCTTCAATATTCATGCAGTGCGGAGCGGCGGTAATAATAATAAATTAACATATAAGTATGCAAAAAAAAATAATTTTGCATATATGTAACAATTATTTATTATAACAATTTTCGCGCGTTTATATCAACTGCGCATGCGAGACTACTATGTATTTCCCGCGCATGCGCGAAGAGTAGGACATTTTTGTTTGGAATAGCTCCGCTAGTACGTAGTGCATATAACTCAATAAGTAAAATTATTTATTATTTAAAATTATCAATGTATTCGAAGTCAGTTAAGTACGAATTATTTAAGGACAACTCAAATACTACTGGTCAGATCTTGATCAAATTTATATGGGACCAAACGAGGTGCACCAGTTTACAAATAGAAAAAAAGAATCATCAAAATCGTTTTACCCAGAATAAAGTTCTGAAGTAACACTCATATTATGAAACAAAACATACAGGTCGGTAAAAATTATGATTGATATAATTATCTCAATGGCAGGCAAATAACTCTCTCAACTCAATATAAGACAATTAATTCGACATTACAGTTAGTACAATTGACAACCTCGTTTGTCTAGTGGTTGTAGTAGTGCGACTGCTGATCATGAGCTCCTGGGTTCGAATCCCGGGTCGGACCAAAGATCAATTATTGAGTTTTTCCGTCAAGAAATTCTCAGTAGCTGCCCGGAGTCAGGAAGCTTGCGGTGTCTCACTCCCGTGCCTCGGAAAGCACGTAAAGCCGTTGGTCCTGCGCCTGATCTGTCTCCGGACGCGTCGGTTTACCGTCCCATCGGATTACGAAAGTGAGGTAATAGAGAGTGCACCAGTGCTTGCGCATACACTTGGGCACTATAATGCTGTCCTGCGCCGATGGCTAGCCTCCGTTGAGGACATTATTATTATTATTTAGTACAATTTTATTTATATGTATGTATTGATTATCAGGTGAAAGATTTACTCCCCACCGGGGCGGTGATTGGCAGGAAATAACGGAAATGTTCAGCGCAAGGAGTAACTTCGCAACTGTTCTATTAGATGATATGATTTTTGTCATCGGTGGCTTTAATGGTAACATTTACATTAAAAATATTATGTTCTTATTAGTCGTTAAAGGGTTTAGATAAGATTGGCGGAGGTTCTTGAAAATCCCTCCTAAAAAAGATAGATTTTCTGTGCACAGCCGTGTCGTAGAGCATGCACCCGGTTCTACCCGGTTCCAAAAAACGGGTATACCCGGGTCCTTGTTAGCTAAAAGAACCCGGTCCAAAATTATGATACCGGGTTCTACCCGGTTCTTATTATATGGGGTAAATTTAAGCAATTTTTTATCTGACTCTCTTATGTTACGGTTCATCACTAAAATATTGAAATACAAGATTTGACCAATGAAGAGCAACTGAACAGAGAACTAAAAGTTAAAAAGTTATGACAGGAACGAACGGTGATAGTGCTGACGACAGTCTCAAGGTTACCATTAAATCAAAATGCTGATGCGTTGTCACCCGTGAGGACTAAGATGGAATGCCTCGTTTCCAGTAAAAAGGGTCTCCGGTTCTCTGCACTCACCATACGAAACACAACAGCATTAAGCTACTATTTCATGCTGGTATTCTGTGAGAGCGTGGCTCCTTCCCCGGTCGAGCCGACCCATTCCTGCTACAAATATACTACTAATATAACTGCAGCATGGCTCTACCTCGTATGACTGCCTTGTTGGTCTAGTGGTTGGTAGTAGCGACTGCTGATCATGAGATCCTGGATTCGAATCCCAGGTCGGGCCGGGCCGTCGGGCCGTCCCAAGCACGTAAAGCCGTTGGTTCTGCGCCTGATCTCTCTCCCGGTTGTGTCGGTTTACCGTCCCATCGGATTACGAGAGTGAGGGAATAGAGAGTGCACCTGTGCTTGCGCATACACTTGGGCACTATAATCCTGTCCTGCGCCGATGGCTAGTCTCCTTTGAGGCAGGCCGCCGTGACCGAAATTCGGTCAGGAGGACATTACTACCACGTTTATTATTTTTGTTTGTTTGATTATATAATAAAGATAGACAGTTAGAAAGTGTTGATTTTTTTATTATTACCGGAGAATCCCAAGACTGAGAAAATAGATCTGGTTGAATTCGTTGCTTTGATTTTATTTCGTTCGTTAATTCTTTGAATTGTTTTTCTAAATTTTATTTGTATGAAGCTCAGAAGACAAGCTTGTTTTTTGTTTTTTCATTTAGTATAGATTTTATAATAATTAGAATTGGAACACGTTTAATTGGTTAAATATACATCACCATCATCATTAGCACCAAATTAATGTAGTTTTATTTTGCCCTAAGGATTTTTTGCTATTAAGAATCGAAAAGAACCGGGTACTCGGTTCTGTACGGACCCGGAACCGAAAAACCCGGTTCTTAGATACGGGCCGGTTCTCTAGTCGTATAGGCGTGTTATGTAGGCTGTTATTGTATTTTAATTTTATTACTTCAAATGTTCTTATTACATGCAAGGAAAATCAGTTTTCACATTTAATTTGCCTGCCGAGCGTAATGATTAAGGCAAATCCTCCTTATAATAGGAGAGGACCCGGTTTGACGGTGGATTTTTGTGGACCGGTGATGTAGAAAAAGAACCTTTATAATGGAGATAGATCGACATGTTTCTCTCTTTCTATAATTTCCCTTATTTTATGAATAAATACAGATGTTATTTCTAGCTTATTAAGTGCGCTAAGTTTATCATGCAGAGGATATCGCGAGAAAGTCGACTCGAGAGAAGTAGATGGATGCAGGTTATTCGGGACCCTCCTTTGTTGTATTGCTCTCTTTGTGGTGTAGCTCTGGAGAGGTCTATTTTCAGCATTGGACTTGAGAAGGACTGTGATGTTTATGATGTGTAAGTGTAATGATGATGATGATGATACTCTAGTTATTAATATACACAAAAATGCCTTATGGGCTGTATAGGAAATCTATGTTCTTAGATTTCCTAAAAAGCCTAAACCACCAAAACACGTATTTGCATTTATTATTCAAATAACAAAATTCTCAATACTTGAGAATCATATTAAATGTAATGCAAATATTTTTCCTATTACTGAACGCAGGCTATGAAGTCCTTAGAGTGCTATTGTCAGTTATACTAACGGGAAAGGGGTGATATATAAATAGATATTTTATTTGAGAGAAACGTAAAAGTGGGCGAAACAGCCAGTTTCGTATTAGCCTTATTTGTAACCGTTATTTGCACTGACCGCATTTCAAACAAAATCCATAAAATTTTGTTCAACTTTTGCATGCAAAATATCATATTTGATAAGGGACAAAACCACATTGTAGTCATTTAGTTTTATACGTTATGTAGATCTGTTGGCGAAATCAGTATCAAAAAACTTTTTCTACACATGTATTTGCTCAATTCTTCTTATTAGAATTGGTACGTTTTGTTTATATACTAGTATTAGGTAATTTAGATTTACAATTGAAATCTGCATGAAATAAGCCGAAATAACATTTCACAAAAAGTTTTTATACATTCCTATCAGACCATACAATAAAAATAATAATATTTGACTCTTTTTATTGTTGACAAAAATATTGTTGTAACTGCTTAAAACGTACCAATAAAACGTAAAGTCGCAGCAGACTTTTACAGGCTGTAATAGTAAAGGCTTCAGTGTTTGCTTGTTTCATGGGAGCTATTACAGGTAATCAGACCTGTTAAGCCCGATGAATCACAGCTAAGCAACCGGCTATTCCTTAGGCCTGCATTGTTGCTTATTAATAAGTGGTAATTTTTTTAATATTTTAAAACGAATATTTTATCACCACAGTTTAATACAAGAATTGTTATTGTTGATGTAGTCCTAGTGTAAGATACATGTGAGGTTATTATGGTCATGTTATAATGGTCAGATTAAGCTTTGCGCCCTATAAAACTAAAACTGGGAAGAGAACAGATACAAAACACAAAGTCGTATACTACAGCTAATATATTAAGAATAACTTGAATTGAAAATTAAGAAAATACTGATGATCTTCAAACGGCTGTACCGTTCGGAACCACCGCTAGAAAACCTACTTTTAAATATAAAAAAAACACATGAATCGGCTCAGGTTCAGAAAGACACACATAGCGGTCAAACTTATTTACACCCGTCTTTTTTTTCGGGGGTTAAAAATAGTAAACATGCTTTACAAGAATTAGGAACAACAGATGACCATGTTATGTACTACGAGGGCGATAGTGAAAGTTTTTAGAACTGGCCACTTGTAAACGATATAATAAAAAAATAAGTTCAAATTTTGAAAATGGAATCCTTTGCCCATATTTTATTAATTTGTCATTTGTTTACGATTTGGCGGATAAAATTGAAAATTGTGTCACGCTAGCATGAAGTTAACGCGAGAAAATTTTCGTACAATGATTTTTTATGACTTTCGATGTAATTTAAGTCAACAAGAAAGTTATAATAGACTTCGATTGGCCTTTCACGATGAATTCCCATCTCGTCATTATTTACAACTGGTTTAATGAGTTTAAACGTGGTTGCACTAATCTCACCGATGATCTACGTGAGGGACGGCCTTCTACGGCGACGAGTGTAGATAACATCAATATTGTGCGGCGTATAATAGAGACTGACAAAAGAGTGACTTACCAGCAGATTCGCACAATCTTAGGCCTCGGTATGAGTTAAGTGCACAAAATCCTCTATAAATATTTAGCGGTCAGGAAGCTTTGTGCCCGGTGGATACCTCATAATTTGACAGAGGCCCAAAAACTCCGTCGTGTTGGTTGGTGTCGTGAAATGGTTCAAAGATTTACCGGAGGTGACTTAAATGCTGTATTCGTCATACTTACTGATTGCGACGCAGAGTGGTACACTAACAATTGTTTGCCACTTGTCTTGCAAAAGGTTCGGGAGAACGACCTCGCAGTAGGATTCTCCTTCACCACGACAACGCCTCGTCACACACCGCCAAGCAAACAATCGACTACTTGGCGACGTCAGACGTGGAATTACTGGGTCACCCGCTCTATAGCTCTGACCTCGCACCTTGCGATGTTTCTTCTTTTCCGAAAATAAAAGAAAAACTTCGAGGAAAACGTTTTATGAACGCCGAGAAAGCAGTGGCTGCGTTTCAAAATGCCGTCGAAGAGACCCCTAAGGAGTGGGCAAAGTGCTTTTCTCAATGGTTCCATCGGATTAAGCGATGTATTGATGTAAATGGACACAATTTTGAAAATATCTATATAATAAAACTAATAACTTGCTAATTTGAGTTTTTGATTTTCTAAGAACTTTCAGTGTCACCCACGTATACTGTTAACATTCAAAATGGCGTCGTCAAAGTAGCGCTTTTTATGCAAACAAGTCTGTAGTTTTTGAATTACTAGAAAGTGACCATATTAACCGGTTGACCATGTTACCCTCAGGTACTCCAAGTCAAACAATGAACTTAAAAAGGCTGTTGATGTAATGTATGCATTTACAGGCTCAACAACAATTCCCCACGTGGAATGTTACGACGGTGACACCCTAGAATGGTACGACGCTGCCCCAATGAATTTGAATCGGTCAGCACTAAGTGCTTGTGTTCTCGCCGGTCTGCCCAATGCTCGCTCTTTCTCCTATTTGGCTAAAGCCGTACCAGCAGCTGGAGCTGATCAGGCTCATTATTAGAAACACTTACTTTTTTCTCCATTCAGAAACAATTCTTAAATAAACAGTTAAGCAATTTACTATTTAAATTGTGCCAAACAAGTAAATTTGTGTTTATATTTTTGATATTTAAATTTTTTAAGTACCTTAGAATAATTGAGCGATGGGCACGTCCATTATATATTATTCATAGAAATAAATTATTTTAATCAGAATTCTATATTATATATAATTTTGACAGTCAAAAAAGAATTTTCCTTTCAAAACTTTTCAAGTATTCCTGCTAGCGTTTTGCCAGCATGTGATTGACAAAATTTGTACTTAACCTTTGCTGTTGTAATATTAATACTGTGATATTTAATTGTACATAGTATTTGTGTATTTTTATGGATCGTAAATCATGATTATTGTAAATGTACAGATTACATATTTTAGTTTTGTTTATATATTATAACTGCTATATGTAAAACTTTAAAAAAAATCATGACATACCTATGTATTTTTATGTGATTTTAGAACATTTTTGTGTAATTTTAAAATTTTCAAGTTTTGCATTTTAATCACTTTGTGAATAAATTTATTTTCGTATTTTGTGTATAGCTCGCGGCGAAATATCATGGTCGCGTTTTGGATGTCTTTAGGCGTATTGTATCTGTGATATTTTTGTGTCTACTTATAAAATCCAAAAACATGTGAAATAATTTTTTCTATCTTAAATTATGGTACGCTGTATGTATTCGAGAATTCCAAAATAAAATAAATCAATAGAACACGTTTTCGTTTCATTCCCGCATATTATACTATTTACGGTACAAACTTTCTTGTATGACACACTACGACTAGGTACTATTTATAGAACACGTGTGTCCCATGAACTGCATAGCCCATACGGGAATGAATCGGCGAGTAGCTGCAGATAGCGAGAGTAGCGTGCAATAGTGCGTACATTTTACTACAGAAGGGGAATTTGGGGAGAAAACTTCACCACCCCTTATTGACCCCGTCCTACCCCCCTTTCCCACCCGGTGTTCCCGTCGCGATCGAAACGCTGCACACTCACCGCAACTTTAGTACCGGCCGCATTGGGGCGCGGCGCTTCATCGAAATAGAAAATTCGACGTGATGGAGCTGAAAGGAAAGGTTGCTTTGATCACCGGAGCCGCTGCTGGCATCGGCCTAGCTTACTGCGAAGAGTTGCTTAAGCAAGGAGCTAAGGTAAGGATAATACGCACTAGGTCGTAGCGGCGTAGTGTTACTACTAAGCAATATTCATTTCGATTTTATGCGTGTGTTGAATGAACAAGGTGTGTACGACACAAAAATAACAATTCTTTGACTGAGCTCTCAGATAAGTGTAAAAACAAACGATTATTTTTCTTCTTATAATAAAAAATTAGTATTGATTTTTGCCAGCGATTCGGTTATATTCGTAATCCTAAAATCCTTTAGTCTTCTTTAATTTCCTAGTGATTTTCTTACATTTACTTTATTTAGATTGTCACACATTAGATAAAATCACTATAGAGCATACCTAGTTCAATTACTATTTTCATTGTTTTTTTTTTAAATTAATACATAAACACATCATGAATTTCAAAATGTTAATGTTATGTAGATATAATTCGACGACAATAAATATGAACGTATATAAAAACAAGAGTAACTAAAAGTCAAAGTAAAGTCTATAGCGGATTAGTAAACTGAAGGGGCAATGGGCGGTCATACAGCTCGAAGATTTGACAACTGATGGGGATTTTTCGAGTAAACACTCACTTGATGGAGTGAAGACCTGATGAACACTTAGGTAGTCAATTGATGGAGGTGGCCCAGGACCGTATTTTGTATCAATCTTTTGGGGTGGCTTATATTCAGCAGTGTACTTGGGATGGGCCGTAGTGATAGCGTTTGATTTTACATAAATATTAGATACTCAAAACAAGTGATATTTAGGTATCACCTACAATTAAAGTTTTGAGCGTCGCGTCGTTTTCGTTTTTTATGAAGTGTCATCTTTACGTGATTATTCTAATAATCCTACCGATCTATATCCGATAATCCATCGCCGATTTGATTTGTTTAAGTCGCTCATGTTTGGTCTTAAATTGAATTTTTGTATGCATTGTTTAGATTCAGTTGTTCATGTATGGTCTTAATTGAATTTGCGCGCTAAAAACGTGTTTTTTTTTCTCTATGCAACTACAAAATGGACTTAACCCATATAGCCTTACAAGATTATGGCATATTTTACTTTGTATTACACAACATACGAGTATATACAGCCAGCACGGATTGATGCTACGTTACCTGATTAGCGTAAAAATAAATAACGTAATAATTCTTTATGAAGTCTAATGAAGTAATGATAAAAATAGATCTAACGTGTCAGCGCCGCCTAATTAAACAGATGATTATAACTTTTTAATTTATATTTTACCGAAATCAACACTTTATAAAGGAAACAAAAACACATCAAGGAACTAATTTTTCAACCCAATTTAAAAAAAGGAGGAGGTTCACAATTTGACTGTTTTTATAATTATGTTACCTCAGAACTTTTTTATAATTGATTTTTTTTTAATTGAAAGCTGGTGCTTCTTATGTGTAGTAGTTTTTGAGTTATCCTTAATAATGTGTATTTAATTGACTTCGACTACATTGTTGATGTACCCATAATATTGAAGTCGGTTGAACAAATTTTTTTATTTTTACCACTTGCGTTATAATGTATTTTTTATTTAACTTTAGTTATTATGGCATATAAATATACATACATAGCATACCCAAAGAGGGTTGGTGTCAGGCAGGCGGCCGACTGTAAAACTTTTGCCAAATCCCATGCAGTAAACCTATGAATAGTACGAGTTGTGGGATATATGACAGGGCTAAGGCGTACCCCGCAGGCGACGCGCAGGGGCAGCACCCGGCTCCTGTGGGAAGTGGGCAAGGGTTGTCGCACCTTACGGAGCGGGTGCGACGTAAGAGGCGAGCTCGGAGAGAGAAGAATGTCCAGAGTGAGGCTTGCAAGCTGGAATGTAGGTACGATGACTGGAAGAGGAAGAGAGTTAGCAGATGTTTTGAAACGACGTAGAGTGAATGTTGCCTGTTTGCAGGAAACAAAATGGAAGGGCAATAAAGCAAGAGAGATTGGGGAAGGATACAAGTTTTATTATTGTGGAAGTGATGGGAAGCGAAATGGAGTAGGAGTTGTGTTAGATAGTGGAATGAAAGAACGAGTGACAGATGTGAAAAGAGTAAATGACAAAATGATAGTTGTTAAATTAATGATTGAAAACAAAGTAGTGAATGTTGTAAGTGTGTATGCTCCGCAAACAGGCTGTGAAGAGAGTGTGAAAGAGAAGTTTTGGGAGGAATTTGATTGTATGATGATGGGAATACCTGAGAGTGAGGATGTTTATATGGGAGGAGATTTTAATGGACATGTAGGGAGAGTGAATGACGGGTATGAAAGAGTACACGGTGGATGGGGGTACGGAGTGCGGAACCGGGAGGGGGAAGTTCTTCTGCAAGCAGCATGTGCTTTCGACCTGGCTGTAGTAAATACGTGGTTCCAAAAACGAGAACAGCATCTTGTTACTTATAAAAGTGGCCACCACGCGACACAGATCGACTATTTTCTGATAAGACGGAACCAAATCAAGAGTGTAAAAAACTGCAAAGTGCTTCCAGGTGAAGACTTAGTATCCCGATTTGCCGCGGGAACTACGGGCAGTATCGGTGTGGCTGTAGGGCTGCACCAAGGGTCGGCATTGAGCCCTTACCTCTTCCTACTGATTATGGACGCTTTGACGTCGGACCTGCAGGATGAGGCACCCTTGTGCATGCTCGTGCACCACCGTGCGACATCGTGCTTGTCGGGGAAGAGGGCATCGAGGTACAGAGCAGACTGACGGGGTGGCAACAGAGGCTGGAAAGTGTTGGCTTGAAGATCAGCAGATCCAAAACCGAATATCTGTGCTGTGATTTCGGCGGTCTTTCCAGTCCTGTACCCATGTCGTTGGATGGCGCTATACTGCCTACCTGCTCAGATTTCAAGTATCTCGGCTCCCTCATTCAAGGCGACGGCGAAATAGATAGAGCTGTGCAGCATAGGATTAACGCAGGGTGGATGAAATGGCGACAGGTCACAGCCACAACGTGCGATCCCCGAATGCAAATAAGGCTGAAGGGGAAAATTTACAAATCGACCATCCGACCTGTCGTCATGTATGGAAGTGAATGTTGGGCCGTCAAGAAGAAGGATGAAAATAGATTGCATGCGAATGAAATGAGAATGTTACGATGGATGTGTGGTGTGACAAGGATGGATAAGATAAGGAATGAGTATATAAGAGGAAGCCTGAAAGTAGCGCCAGTGGTAGAAAAGGTGAGAGGAAGCAGATTGGCATGGTTTGGGCATGTGATGCGGAGGGATGAAAGTCATGTCACAAAACGAGTGTTGAATATGAATGTGGAGGGACACACGGGCAGAGGAAGGCCGAATAAAAGATGGATCGATTGTGTGAAGAGTGATATGAGAATGAAAGGAGTAAGTATGGAAATGACGGCTGATAGAGAGGAATGGAACAAGAAGATTTACTGCGCCGACCCCAGATAATGGGAAATGGTTTAGAGAATGACTATGACTATTATGGCATATTTATATACTATATATATATTATACTACTATACTGCATGTCGGCTCGACCGGGGAAAGACCACGCTCTCACAGAATACCAGCGTAAAATAGCAGCTTTACACTGCTTGGTATACTATTTATTAATATGTGACACTGCCGTGTTTCAGTGAGTGTAGAGAACCGGAGAGCCTTTTCACTGGAATCGGGGCATTTCATCTTAGTCCTAACGGATGATAACGCATCTGCATTTTGATTCGTTATCGAGGGCAAATGGAGATATCTATGGCCAACAGCAACACTTACAATCTGGTTGTTATACTGTGAGCGCGTTTGTCACTCCAATCCTATGAATAAAACTCAGAGATCACAAAAAAAAGCATCGACG